GATACCTCCTCTCAAGAGGGAGTTGGCAAAGCGAGGATTGTCGACAACTGGAAATAAGGCAGAGCTGCAATCGAGACTGCAAGAAGCAATGGAAGTTGAAGGCATCGACTTGAACCAGCACGAGTTCCATCGCGAGGATGAAGATGTATCCTTGAAGGACATTGACAGGAGTTGGAATCACCATCAAGTAAGATTCAAGAAAAGGCTCCTGGCTCATCTAAAGGTATTGACATGAACATGTTATTGACTGCGATTACACAAAAGTTCGATTCCCAGTACACAAAAATTAACGCCAGCATTGCACAAAATATGTCTGAAATGAGAGCCAGCATCTCACAAAAAATCGATTCGTTGCGTTGGAAGGACCTGCAGCCGAACTTTTGCAAACCATATCCGTAAACGAGAGAAATGATTATGACGGATGGATGCAAGCCCTGGAAAGACGCTATGGTAGCGAACACAGAAGATAAATTTACCAGATGGAGTTAAAAAAGCGCGACCAAAAATCTAACGAATCTCTTCAGGAACATGCTTCGGAAGTTGAGAGATTGGCTCATTTAGCCATTGGAGATTCATCGTGTGAGCATCTTGAAGGGGTGAAGATACAAAGGTTCATCAGCGGAATTAAAGACGTGTACACCAAGCGAGAGACATATGCGAATCCAAAAATGACATTCGCTGAAACTGTTGCGTACGCTCAAACACGTGAAACGACGGCACTCATAAGCAGACCATCTTACAAAGTAAATAAAGTAGAGGTTGAGACACCAGATGTGATGACAGAAATATTGAGAACTCTGAAATCGCTAGATGAATCGTTGTTCTGGGTTCAAAACTCAAGCGGACAAATGCTTTAAATGTAGAAAGCCTGGCCACTACGCACGCGAATGCAAAACAAGTTCCAGCAGACAGGATTTACAGCGAAAACGGAAGGCAGAGGAAGATGAACCATCAATGCAATTGAATGCCCCATAATTTCCGTATCGCAAATTGGCAGAAAACCGAGCAACATTTCTATTGGTGGATATGTCGATGGACGAGAGCGAATATTAACAGTGAAATCGGCGAGTGGTGAGGATAGCCAAGTGGTGGGCGAAGTAACGTGTGAGGTCACAGTAGGTAATGTGACGGTGCTACACAGCTTAATCGTCACGCAGATTGTAGATGAGGTAATCATAGGAGTGGACTTCTTGATGTATCAAGGTATCAAGATCGACTTGAATATCAACATTATGGAATATGAGAACATGGAGATACCACTAAGCATTGGATATAATTCCACGCACAGCAGCAAGCAAGTGATCTTAGAAGGCAGCGAGCTGATTCCACCAAAGTCAGAAGCAGTTGTGTGGGCAAAAATTAATGGAGATT